CTACTACTACTAGCAGCAGTAGCAGTAACCAGTAGCTGTTGTAGTAGTATAGGTTATATATAAGATAAAAGACACTACAAACAGCTTAGACCTTAAATGGGGGTTTCCGAAAATAGGGGACCCTAATATAGTACCCTAAATAATGGGATCCTTATTATAAGGACCCCCAAAAAAGGTACCCCATATTTTCGGAAAGTCCCAAATGGAGCCAGCGCCTGACGAGGCAAATCCGCCAGGTCTCGACGCACGCGGAAGATGTGGATGTGATCCCGGAGCCTGCGAGTCTTAGGATTTTTTTAGCAAGGCAGGTGTGTCCGAAAGTATGGGTTTAGGGTTTAGGATTTTGAAGGGTGTCAGAAAGTGTGGGTCTAGGGGCGCTTCTAATGAGAATTCAATTGTTTCGAATGCTACATTAGGGTTTGGGGAATCGTCTAAGGGTTTATAGGGTTCTGGGCTTTATGATTGGGCGTTTCGTTGAGAACCTATTATGCAGCCACAAACGGGTTTTGTGTTGAAGGATGTTTTGGAGCGTAAGGCTAAAGCTCTCTGCGAGTGGGTACCAGTAATGCTTCATGGTGCTGGCCGTTGATGGACGGAGTCGCTGCAGCAGATCTGAGGAACCAGCCGATCGGAATACCAATTGCAATTTTTCGTGTCCTGGCTCCACGTTGCTCCAAGCAGAATTCCCGGCGTCTTCTAAACTGCCCGGCGATAACATCCTCATTGTAGCGAACTGGGCCAAGAGATGGTATCCGGTCTCAGCGGGGGACCTATTTATTATTACTACTAAAATTATTATATGATTATTATTACTATTATATTGTTACTATTATTATTATTATTATTATTAGCGTAAGTATTGGTATTATTTCTAGTATTAGGGTTAGTTATAGTTTGAGTTTTGCCAACTAGTATTTAACAGTTAGTATTTGCTACTTGCACCGCTGTGGAAGGTCCTGCTTCAACACCACCGAATTCGAGAGCAGCCCCTCGGAGGACGAAAGGATGATGCGAACTTTAGGGTTTAGGGAAGTTTAGGGTTTAGGGTCTTGCTCGCAATGTGGCCGTGCCAATGATGCAAGGTACCCACATGACGCAATGCACACTTCAACTGCATCAAGGCGTCAGATCGGAAGAATCTGCAGACCTGCCTACGATCGAGACGCACAATCATTCACAGCTGAGGGCCACACCCAGTATAAGCGTGTGGACCTTTCCATCCAACTGTGCCAGGTAACAGCAATCAGCTTTATCAAGCTCAGTATGCTGCATCAAAAACAGGTGAGTGTGAGGAACCGTCACAGTTGCCCAGCGTCACCTTCACCAAAGCTGTCTCTTGCATTGGCTCTGGGGAAGCCGAGTCGAAGAGAGAATGAGCTAATATAGGGACCTTAATAATTACCTATACTATTTTGGGGTTTCGTTATTACAATTACAGTATAATATGCCCCAAAAGCCTATTCCAAGTATTAAGGGGGATGTCGCAGCTCCGACAACGAGGACAAAGCTGGCTGCTTCCATCCAAATCCAGCAGCAAACGGCGCCGGAGCTGCTCCTATGAGAGCTGCGGGTTTGGGCCGTTTCGTCTCCTCAATGCTGTGCATGTATGTATATGTATGTATGGATATGATACATACAAACGTATACTGTAAAGGTATACATATATGTGTGTATGTATGTGTATGTACGTACGTACGTAGGTATGTATGCATGTATGCATGTATGCATGTATGCATGTATGTACGCATGTACGCATGTA